TGATGAAGGTTTCCTGATGGCTTTATAAGTTTCCTAGCCGTTTGTTTGGAAACATCAGCCTAACCTCTTGTAAGATCATAACTGAAATTTGAAAAAAAAGAAAAGACTGGGATCATTTGTTTATACACTTTTCTCTCGTATTGCCATTATTTTTAGTCTTTCTTCTGTGTAATTGCAAACAAGCTATATCCTTTATCTGAAATGCAGTTGTTTTCAGCAAGGTGGAGGGGAACTGGAAGCAAGATTACCTAATGGAAAGGAAGATAAACCAAATGTAAGGTATTTTATTTAGTAAAAGTGTTTTAAATTCTAGAAGTCTGAAGTTTTAAAGTAGCTTTCCAGTGGGAGGAGAAAAGCCTATTACATTTTAAAATGGGCTTTGATCACTTTAGGAGTGGGAGTAATATAATACGGGGGGGGGGGGGGGGGCGGAAAAAAGATGATCACTATTTCCCTCAGCGTCCTTAAGGCACCATGCTGCTTTGCAGCACCTGAGGGTCAGAGAACCAACATCGGTAACTCTGTCAAATATTTCTCATTCTTATATCTTTTAGCTTTGCATTTTCTCATCATACATTTATCTGTGAGGTTTATGAAGAAAATTCTATAAAATGCCACAATATTACCTAGAGCCATGGATTCGGAAATTATGGCAACTTTTTGCTCCGGAAGGCTCAACCTGGAGGTGTAAACATAGAAAATAAGTCCTGATTCTTCTCATATGGCATGCCATATCATTAAGAAATCATGCCATCATTAAGAAATCATTAAGAAAGCAGAAAAGCAAGGAATAGCAAGGCCTACTCCTATGAAATGGGATCTGCAGGGTCAGGTATTCTGGTTGCATTAATAATGCGCCTTCATCAATTAAAACTGACTAGGTCTGATTAAAACATACACAGTTTCATGGAAGCTGTGTCACAACTCAGATCTCATTTACATTGACCGATATAAAATTGTTCCTGGGGGACATAAATCAATATGGAAACAGAAACCAGATTGCACAAAGCTCACTCAAGTCAGCACCCAAAAGCTGTGGAACATTTTGTGTCCTATTCCTCAACTACAAATATCTCCTGAAGAACAAAAATTCCCCCAAGTCAGATGCTGAGCTCAAGTCTCATCAGTGTCTGGTCTGCATCACTCTCTTGCCTTTGAAGATACAAGAAGGTCCAGGGAGAGTTCATTTTTACAAATATCATGTTGAATGGGCAGTCCTTGCCCCTTTATGGTTGCTATTTAGCTTTGTGATTTCAAAGATCAGATTTGCTGAAATGAAAGAGAGCTGCTAAAAAGGAAGAGCTAGACACCAAAAACAGTATCTGAATGTAATTTCTATATTGTACCTTATTTTCGTACTCCACTCTGGATTCGCTTGCCATTATCTCTGTCCCTTCTGCCACCCCTACTTAAGGCCAGTTTTTTAAATATAGAAAGAGCAACTTGGCATTTTCAGTTAATGGAATAAATTCTCCCATAATTAAGTATTGAAATTTCAGCACCTCTGTTCTGAGCTTCATATATACTAAATGCATAAACAACTGATGGTAAAAGAAGTCAAGGTCATGATGTAACAATGAAAACCCCTTTTTCTCTTTGAAATATAGGTCTTGCTCTTCATTTTGGAGTGTTAATTGTTGTCTAGTACCAGTACTTCACATCAAAAAGTAGTTAAATACAGTCAATATTTACAAGTGGTGCAGTACAGAAGGGTTTTGTACATTTACAAAAGCAAAAGAAGAAAATGAGACAAGAAATTACCAGTGCTCAAGAAGCACTAAACATTCTTTTTTAATTACATTTTGCTTTTAATAACATAGCCTTTCTGACTCCAAAATATATTTCACAGTGAAAAATCAAACATTGCACTGTTACACTCAGTCAATATTTGCACACATGTAGAAGCAAAACCACCTTTTGGTTTCCTCCATCAAGAAACAAATAGAAATGGTGGCCACTGTGAATGGTGGCCATGCATGTCCAGCATCTTCAGCTTACATTCAACATAAAGATTTCTGAGCGTAATTTGTGCGATGACATCAGATTCCGGTTTAGATAACTATATACATCTGAAACATGATCTTCCCAATAACACCGAGAAAGTTAGAGTTACTAAGGAAAGCCATGCTTGCAAGTATGTCAGAACTTCCAATAAAAAAAACATATTAGAAGGGATTGACTTTTAGAATATAGTTTATATTAAATATATATAGAGATACTCTTTCTTCTAGTGAATTCAGTGCTGGTGAAAGGTACCGAAGACTTCAATCCGTCCACTGAATATGAAACACAGGGACAGCAATAGCAGAAATTTCTGATTCACTGTCCTCCAACTTGCCTTGTTCCTGAGCACTGGCTCTAGGAGCTCAAGTAGCAAGTTAAAGTCTTCATGACTATTCAGTCCTTGGCCTCTCCTACTGAGACTGCTAAAAGTTATAGCAATAATAATAATAATAATAGTTTACTGAGAGCAAACCCCAAGTTTCACAAATGAAGTGGTTTTGTTCTAACAAAAGGAAAGTTATTCTGTACTGATTGTAATTTAGCTGAGGACTTGGTCTGCAGCGTGAATGAGAGGAGGGTGGTTTTGGTAATGGGGACACTTGGCCACGAGGCACTGGACTGAGATCCACCAACTCAAAATGCAGAATACTGTAGGACAGCCAGGAAAACAACAGATGCCAAAGACTCAAAAAACAAGCAAGCAAAGAAACAAACAAAAACCCACCCTTCTTGCTCTGGACTGAAAATAACACAGAAATTTCCAATCAGATGAAATTAAGATTTATTTTTTCCTCAAAAGTTCTAATTCATTAATGCTGGGAAACTGGCTACCAGCCATTCATGCAAAATATACTTTTTGATATTTTTAATAATACACTTACAGTATTGCCAGTATAACACCTTGTGAAAGCCCATACTACAGAAAATATAAAACTAAATGTTATCTGTTAATCTAGTATTAGATAGTTTTATTTAAAAAATGCATAAGTATACATTAACTGATAAATGTGACCTTCTCTATTTCCCACTGCTGTGTCTTTCTGGTCTGCAAAGTGTTTCCTTGGGAAACTTTCTAAAATAGCTATTAGCAGCATTTAGTGAGAGAGGAAGACCCCATCTATCAGCTAAAATACTGCAGTGATTATTAGTGATTTTTACACAGAGTCTGGAACAGAGAGGGACACATTCTGCTCACAAAACAGCAAAGCAATGCTGAAGATTTGGGAAAAAAAAGAATATGTGGGCCATGTAACTGTCATTTAAGGTACCAGAGTATATTTAAATGACTTAAACCTTGTTACTGATCCTCTACACAAGGACAGATTTCACTGGACTGGGAAGTAAATGTTTCATAAGAGCACAATTCTGTACCAACATGAAGTCAATCTCAGTATGTCCATATATTTCAAGTAAGTTCAGGAGCAACTACTTTAGTGTTCCTGAAATAACTTGCGCTTACATTCATTTACATTGCTGCAGCTGAGAGCAGATTATGTCCCAGAAAGTAACATAGAACTGTTAAGTATTATTATTAATACTTCTTTCACAACTTTCTCTGACCCTTATTTTTCCTTTTAAAAATAAGGAAACTAATATTATTTTAAAAAATCTATGCTTAAAATGACATTAATTTTTTTTTAACCTTAACTAACAAAAACCAGGGAAATTAAGAGCTCAGCTGACACTGAAATTCTGAATATTTCACTTTTTTTTCAAGGTCAGTACCAAAGTACAAACCTGAATTTTGAATTTCCTGGTTACTATTAGTTTGAGTTCAGAAGTTCACATTTGAAATGCCATTTTTTTGTTGTTGTTTTAATATACACACACACGTACACAAACATATATATATATCTTTATATATATATATATATGAGTTCATAAGTCCACAATGAAGTGAGAGCTAGTACTGTCCTCAAAGTCTTTATGCACTGTATAAAGACTTTTAAGAATTGACATCATCAACACTTGACTGAAGTAGATATGTACCAGTCGTGGCTTTAATTACAAGGCAAAATTGGAAAGAATGTTTTCATTCCTCTCAGACAAAAGCATTAAGAACATCCGTGGTTAAACAAACAGAATATCCAAAGAGAAGGAAAACTGCCAGGAGTGGGAAGTCATCCAAAGTCTTTTTCTTTTGTAGCATCTTATTATTGAGTTAAATGCTCACCGATGATGGTTACCTTTAGAGATGATCACGCCAATTTACTCTTATGTCTGTGCTCTGATAATGAGTAATCTTAACACATAGAGGTCAAGCAGGTCACAAAGGCACCACACACTGTGTGACACCACCACCCAAGAGCGTGCCGTGCTTTGGACATAGATGCAGAGGGTTCAAGGTTATTTGGAGGGAAAGACCATCCTGGAACTGACTTTTTCTCTTATGGTGGGAGTGAGGGGACAATCATTTTTCATTACTCAATTCAGTTGATCAGTCTATCAATCTACTTAACAATTGGTCTATGCCAAAAATATAGATATATCTCAACTTCATGGCCCTTTTAAAAAATTCACAGTTTAGCAAGAACATAAAGCATTCTCTGTAATGTCCCTGGGTATGGAAAAAGCTCTTTCACCTGGAGTCTCCCTGCTGATTGATGGCAGCTATGCAGCTTCATATTGGCACAACAGTTTCTTCAAGTCCACTGAGTACATCTGACTAAATCCAGCCATGATACTGATTTTCTGAAGTCCTTCCTGAACTGACTGATGTGATTAACCAAAGCAAGTTGACTGTATTCTAAGACTCAAAAGAGAAACACTACGGAACATGCCAAAAGGTTGGGACAGGTATGTTTGAACATATATAAAAAACAAAAACAAACAAACAAACAAACAAAACCCCCCCAAAAACAACAACAACAACAACAAAAACAAAACACAGAAAAAGCAGAGCTAAATCCAAAAATAAGAATTAAAATCAACTTGAAAAATAATGATCATGTTCATTCACAGATTATTATCAGTTTGGCAACCAAGGATCACAACTGCACAGCAATCACTTGTTACTTTTGACTGACAACGGATTACTTGCAGATGTTCTGAAATGTAAATCATTAAGTAGGCACCTTAGCCTGTTGGTTATCTTGTAAATAGTTTTTCCATCAATGGCCTTGATTACAGTTGCATATTTACAGTGACTGTTAAAAAGATATATATATACACATTTCCTTTGCTTTTCTCCTCTGCAAAGATCAAGGATGTTTTGGAGGAAGGAGTGGAGAGGGGAGGAGAAAGGATGAAGTGACAGGAAATGATGGGAAGGAGAGTGAAGGGGAAGGAAGAGAAGAAAAGAGAAGGAGAAGGAAAAGAAGGGAAAATAGACCCACACCACCATGAAAACGATGATTTTATTTTCTCTTTAAAGGGATTTTGTTTTTGGTTTGTTTGTTGATTGATTTTTTTTTCCTTAGCTGCTCATGTCGCTAGATTCTCCGCATTTATGCTGGACATCCGAATCTGAGAGCTGCTCTTGCTCAGAATGGAGAGTTGTGTCCCCCCGTTCACTCCGCTGCTCGCTAGAGAAGGATGACGATGTTTGAAATCCACAGCAAAATACCGGTTGACTTTCCAGCTCCTCCATTTTCTCTTTATTTCTGATTGCACCTTTAGGGAGAAACTTCAAAAGGTCATTTTTTATGTACTTAGCCGCTCGAGGACATGCTGACAAATTATCAAGTTCAGAAAAAAAAAAAGTTATTGTTAAATTTTTTCATATTGTGAAATATGAGGTGATTATTCTGTGTTCAAAGAAAACAAAGCATGCTGTGGGAATAACTGCCTAGAGTTCATGTCTAAGTTCAGATAATTTCAGAATCCATAACAAATCAGCCCACAGGTTCTTGGAAGATCTGTTCAACACTAACTTCAATAGAAACATTGTGTTAGTCTCTTAGGAAAAACAAAAATCTTATAGGAAAATAAAAAATCTTGTTTTCAGCAGTGACCACTACCAAATACATAAGGAGGGGACAAGGAAAACAGTACCCCAAAAATTCTGAACAGTAATGAAATAACCTCCTCAAAAAGGTAGCTTGTCATTTGACAGGAATAGCTTCAGATACTGCAAATAAAATCCCAGTGTTTTCAATAGATGGAGACCATCTTCAGGTAATGTCTGAATCTCTCCCTCGTAATGCCTAAATCTCTCCCACGTGTATCAAAATAAATTGATTCACTGTGTTTGCATTTCTTGCTCCACATTTTTGGAGGTCTCTCTTATACCAGTCCTCAGACCTATGTCCTCAAAGGTAAAATACATTCATGGAAATTTTGACTTCATTTGGTTTTAAAGAAGGCTGTAGGAGAAACATGCTAGGTGCAAGACCAGCCGTCATTAATGAATGCATATATATTGAAAACTTTGACTTTTCTCTTTTAGATCTTTTTTAAGTAGATGCCAGCTCTCACATACATAAACATCTTTAATACTCTCTGCAATACTCCCTTGATCTGTTATAGCATATACTAAAATTCTGAGTAAAAGATCATTAAAAAAAAGGGCAAAAATGTAGTGATTATATATGATTATATATATCACAAACACAAAAACACAAAATATATATATATATTATATATGATTATATATCCCTCAATATGCTTTTCCAGCTTATAATAAGCTGTTGTATTAAAAGTGGTCTGGTTTTCTTTAGTATTCGCTGGTAGGTTCTGCTAGACTAATAGAGCTGTTCAAAATGGAGCATCATAGACTAAAATGCTAAACAAGGGCTTATTCCACATGGATCCCAACCACAAACTGGAAACTGGACAATTTACATTCTCCTAATAATAAATCTCCTATTCTTCTAATAACTCCAAATTTGTACTTTTTATTAGTATATAAATAGGTATCAATTAGACAGAGGCATATTACCTCCAACCCGAAAAAAAATAGTGTTGCATCTATGGCAGGTGTTACACCCAAGGAGGACCCTTACATATCCTAGGTAAGCAGTTTATAAAAGAGAGAGTTGAATAGTGAGGTAAAGATCTGAATATTCTCGATTTTGGGAGGGACGTGGAGGTAGAGTAAAATATTTTTAATTTCTCTTGCTATATTATTTTGGCTAAGATCCAAGAGAAAGCCTTACATGAACAGTGACACACTGTTTATCAGATCCTGGAAAACACTTATCTCCACCATTAGCTTTAGATGTGACCTTCTAATTATTCTCTTAAAAGTCACTTAAAGGCAACAAATGAAATGACAGTTCTAGGTGGGAGAAATTGGTATCTGGCCAGGACACCAGCTGGTACAATATGGAATCTGGTAATATCAGGCAGTGTAATATGAACACAACCACCAACTGTATGGCGAGGTGTGAACTCACCTTCTAAGATACATGGGATTATATCATAAAGGATCCTGCTACCTGTGAGGCACCCTGACTAAATCCATTAGCAAAG